CGAGGTAAGACTAACTGTCCTATAGTTTCCCGGGTCCTTCTTCCTCCCTTTTTTGAAGATGGGAACCATGTTGGCCCTCTTCCAGTCCTCCGGCACCACTCCAGAGCACCATGAGTGCTCATAAAGCCGTGCCAGGAGTCCTGCAATGACCTCAGTCAATTCCTTTAGAACTCTAGGGTGGAGATCATCCGGACCGGCTGACTTGAAAATGTCCAGCCCCTCCAGAAGCTCCCTAACTAAATCCTCGCTAACCCTTGGCCCAGGTGTGCCTCCCCCGGGGCCCGAGGGGGGCCCAGCAGGGAGGTGGCTGTTCTGGTCCCTCCTTAGTTAGTCCCAAGTCAGTCCACACACAGTGTTACTGAGCAATAAGGTGTCTACACATGCATTACTAAACAGTAACTAATCAGGCATAATGCACACATGTAGATGCACCCACTTTCCCCGTTTCTATTATAAGGCCTTAATCACATGGCAGGTGCAAGGATTTATTTATTAAAGTTTGTGATGTGCTTTGAAATCCCAAGATGACTGGTGTAACAGCAGTTATAGGTGTTATTTCCTACCTCACAGGACACTGCAGAGAAGCTAATCAAGGCTATTCTGCGTGCTGAGCTCCGAAGATTCCATGGGATTGAGCTGTGTTTCTCTGGGAAAATAGACAACATACATCTTTAAAAAGTTTAGGAGATCTTCTATACCAGGGCTTGATTTTCTAAGCATGAGACTATCAGTATAGTTTTGTCACCAGCAGGAACATGGGAACATTCCTAAGTAGTTCCAATGAGGAGTAATACAGGAAATCTGTAAGCTTATGGGTTTGAATACTCAGTTCTTCCCTTTACGGTCTGATTCAAGCTCCACTTCTTCCTGCCTGTGACCTTCTTGGGAATTCACCTTATGCCTTACAGTTGTATCTGAATTTCAGTTTCTTGTAAAATGTTTAACTGTAGAAGAGTCTGCTTCATCTGCTTCATCACAACTTCATTATCTCAATTTACACTCACATTTCAACTTCACAAGCAAGCAGGTTGGTGGCTAATTTGAGAATAAAGAAAATGTTTTGACTCTTCTTGTAAAATATGACAACATTTTTCATCAAATGGGGGGACCTCTTGTGTGGTTCACGGTCAAAGCCTGATGAAGTCAGGCGTTCCCTTTGTCTTTGGTGGGCTTTGTCTCAAATCAGTAACTCACATTCAGTAAATTTCTTGTTATCATGCTGCCAACAGCAGAGACTATTGCTACAATAAAAATAATTATTTGTCAACCGTACTGTGGAATTCAGGTACAAATTCTTAATTTTTTTGCCACTTAAGTTCATTTGGGACATAAAGCCATTATTGTCCTGAAATTTCTACCTTTTTAGTGTTACATCAAAGTAACAATTCTCCCTGAGATGAAACATAAAAAAGAGTTCCATATAGAAGAAATATATATTCTGTTGTATTCAGCGTATCAGGAAATGTTGCCTCCACTCTCACTGCTGCTAAATAAAATTAAAAAATTGTGGAAAAGAAGATGGGACCTACTGTAACCATTTTGGGGAGGAAAGGTCATAGTACCACAGTTTATCTTTTTCAAATACAATTATTGTCATACAAAACGGTATGATTAGCTTCAAACTGTACTGCAACTACACCAGTTAGGAGCAATAGGAACAATTAGGCAAACAGGGTTCTTTGGGTAAATCTGGTATCTTTTATTAGACCAACTCAAATAATTGGAAAAATTCTTTTTTGCAAGCTTTTGGGTACAAATACCCTTCATCAGGCTGAGGAATTTGTACCCAAATGTTTGCAAAGAAGAATTTTCAAACTATTTGAGTTGGTCTAATAAAAGATTTCAGATTTACCCAGAGAACCTTGTCTGCCTAAGTCCTCAGACCAACAAGGCTACAACCTATACCCCTGAAAAATAGGGACAATTATACATTTACCATTATGGCTAAAGAGTACAAAATAATGGAACGCTTGCCTAGCCTATAAAGCCAACCAGCCCCCAAGTTTTCTGTCTAGGCTGCTCAGCAAACTATGACCACTTCTCCCATACATCATTAGGGATGTGCAAGTTACACCATTATGACTGGTGCAGCTAGCTAGTTGTCTGTGTACAGTGCTAGCTCTGTTATCTGACTGCTACTGCAGGAATACCCAAGACACATTCATTTCCCTTCCTGCAGTGCTTTGCTGCCCTGAAAGCACAGACCCAAACTTTTACTTCTAGAATGAAGACCCAAACTTTTACTTCTTCCTGTTTCCCTTTCACATGGCTGTTACTGTGATGAGTCATCCTTTATTTCAGCCAGCCATTATTTTCTGAGTATGAATATTAGAAATACAATTGCAAAGCCTACCACTAATGCTTGTTGTTGTTTATATATTGTTCATATGAGTATTTGGCATGTGACATTCTTGATCTGCCAGTGTCAAATGCAGCTTTCCCATGGTAGACTATGAGCCAACAAAACCATATCACAATCTGCACAATATTTAACTAAATATCTATGCTTAACTTACGCAATGGTCTTTTTAAATGCACTGCTTTCTCTCTACCAGTTTTTATGTTGGCCAGACTATTTCCCAAACTTTTTTTTGCTAGGAACAAGCACACAGGAATATCATACATAGGAATATTTTAAACAAAGTATTTTTAATGAAATGCCAGCCTAAATTATGCTAGTTTCTCCTATTGTTTCATGTTTGTAAGTACATGATTAACTTGCTGATCTCACACTGGGCTGTGGAGCCAGTTGTTATATATTAACTTAGAGCTCAATCCTGCAAGGTAGCAACTACATCTCTTAGATGCTGAGCACTTTCACTCCCACTAGTATTAAAGGAAATACAGGGCACCCAGCATCTTGCAGGATTGAACCAAACACCTAGGCAACATAGGCAATTGCTTACAAAAGCCAAACAGATTTTCTAGAGTGGAATAAGATTTGTACTGTAGCTGTGTAATATGTGTATGCAAAGGATTTTCATGCACTCATCTAAAACAACAGCTCTCTTTTAATTAACAGATGTTGGAAACCTTCAACCTAGAGGTATGTGAAATGCTAATCAATTACATTTATGTTTAACATTTATCAGATTTCTTTAAGTGCTAAGGCATTTCAAAGAAAAGCATGCTTCTTGGGAGGCATTCTGCATTCAGAGTCTGGCTTTTAGATCGAGACTGGTATTTTCATTCTTTGCTTGTACTGCTGTAGAGAACAATGTTCTTCTGGCTATACATTACCTGTAAATCTGATCTAATTAGGATACTTGTCTATTCTAAATGATTGCATCTATATATCATTCAAGTGCGAACTCTTCAGTGCATAGATGGCTAAAATGGTTCAGAAGGCACTGAGATCAGAAATAAGTGGAAAGGCTTATTGGGAGCTATGTCTGCCACCCATTCCCAAGACCTGAAATATTTTTCTCAATTAGTTCCTGAAAAGATTTTTGTTTTGTTTTTCAAGTGAACATGTTTGTGCCAGCTGATGCGAGCTCTCCCAGTCTGATCCAACTTCTGATAAAGCCAGTGGGGATGCATCCAGACTAGCATGCCCATGCAGTTTGCAGCACCACAAACCCATTTGCGGTAACGTAAACCACATGTGCCACATATGGACATGTTTGCCATGGTGCTAATTTACAGCACAGCAGGTTTTTTTGACACTGGCATCAAAAAAATCTGTGGCAGAGAAAAGCAGGGTTGTGCACATGGCGGCACCATGCGCTGCCTGAAACTGGAGCTTGGCCGGCCAGAGCCATGTTCCAGTTGCTGGCCAGGCTCCACGTGCCCAGATCACTGCTGCTGCAGCCCTGGGAGGCCCCCAGTACCCCAGGTAAGGCTGCTGGGGTCAGCCCAGGTTCTGGCCCCAACCTCCCGTTCCCCATCTGGGGCAAGTTGCCACGCGTCAGAGCGTGCGTGGAGGGGTGATCCCCAGGGACAAGTAGCAGTGGCACAGATATGTACCACTGCTATTTGTCCCTGGGGAAATCCACATTCCTGCTGATGGGAACGCACCCTAGGAATCCTTTTACTTGCTTTAAAGGGAGTTGGACCTGGCTTTCTACCTTCCAGCCAAATTCTGAACCTATAAAAGTCCATGGGAGTTACGTCCCTGATGTCAGTCCTTCACTGCAGATTTAAGAGACAGTTAACACAACAAATGTTTAAAAGGTCAAAATGATGAAATAGCACTTTGAAAACAGATGGACTGCTTGCATTTAGGAAAACGGAAAAAAAGAGAACTAAGTAGTAGTTCAACTCCTGATCCAGCTAAAGTTAATGGTGAAATTCAGATTTTCATTCCTGTAATCAGGATGTGGCACAGCGTATGCAAGCAAGACTGTTTATCCTTCCTTCCTTCTCTACAAGTTGTATAGAAATTCTTCCAAAGAACTCTGCCCATGAAGCTGTAGGTTTGTGATTAGCTAGTAGAGAAAAAGGTTCTACCGTATCATATCTGATCCTAAGATCTCAAACATGGTTTTCCTTGTTTTACATGAGAATAAAGCCTACCATCCTACAATGTTTCAAGAAAAATCGGGGTCTTCCCCTTTAATTAATGGGTTTTAAACTGAGTTTGTAAGGAAAGAAAGTTGCTCATAAAAGGGAGCCGTCTCCATTCACCAGTAAGGGGCACTGCCATCAATTAAAAAATATGTGGAGAAAATAGTTGCCTTTTGTTTTAGAGACGACTTTTAGAAATTAGAATGATTAGAAGCTGAAACAAAAACACAGTTTTGCAGCAGCCTTGCACTTTAAGTTAGTTAGGGAAAATAGCTAGAGCACTGCTGTCTTTTGTGACTCAAAATGGACATTAGTATAGAAACAGCACTAGTTGTTCTAGATATTGTGGGGTAAATCTCAGTTCAGTTTAAATATATTCTGTGATGATGATTGTATCTGTTCAGAATAAATTAGTGGATTATTCGAGACTTTTTTTGCCCTAACCCTGCAAATGCTAGTATATGTGGGTGGTTGCATTGGACTATATAAGTAACTTCAAGCACTGGGGTACATGTGACTGGTTTCTCATATATGTAAGTGCCAGATCAAGACTTTAATGGTTTGCTTTAACTGAAGTCAGTATAGATGGCAGTACGTGGAAGAGAGAGCATTGTTTCGACTGTTAGTTTTCTTGAAAGGGTAGCAGTCAGGTTTGTAGGGTGTTTCTGGTGAGTAAACACAAGTAAAAAAGTAGTGAGACAAAGGAGAGGAGTAGGAGAGAGTAGTAATTTAAAGAGGCTTCTGTGCACCTAAGGCACAATCAGCTAATCTAGCAACTAGCCTTTTCATCTGTAGGAAGTTAAAATGACTGTGTTGCCACTGAAAGGAAAATTGGGAAGTAGGTGGAAGTTTATGTAAACACAGTGGGCTTTTGATAACAAAGAAGTATTTACCAAAGACTTTCACTTTAAGTCACTATCTGATTCCATGAAAGAGTACTGTGGCAGAAAATTGGCTAATTAGCCAATATTCTCCCTGGGAAAATAGTTTTCCTATTAGTATAAATTAGTTTGACTTTGCATGCTAATGTTGCTTTAAAAAAATCACCAACAAACTGATGCAAACAGACTCTCCCTATGCCTGAAGCAGAGTGTTTGTGCCTGAAATCTTAATAGAACAATTTTTCCAACTATTTAGTTGGTCTAATAAAAGATATCACATCTATCCAAAGAACCTTGTTTGCCTGTGTCCTTAGACCAACACGGCTACAACCTACACCCCAAGTTCAATGCTTTGAGATTTAACTTTAAGCAAACTCTGAGGATTTGCCTTTCCTCTAGTTCAATACCAGTTCAAACCTGAAATGTTTTTCCTAATACTTTTCATTGGTTACAGCAAAATGGGTTTGAGTGTAAATGACTACCTCCTGTTTTTGTTCTTTGTTGGTTTTTTGGGGAGGATCAGGGGGGAAAAAGAGGGTTCTTTTGGGAAAACAAAAACCTTACCCAGTTTTACTCTTCTAAATACCTTGGAACATTGTCAAATATAGTGCTTGAATTTAGCTATTTTTTCAAGCACAGTTTTACATTATTTTATATGTTGTTTGGTTAAATGTTTGAAACACACAGACATGGAATGCTATGGTAACTTTTTCTCGGGTTGCAATATGAACAATTTAACATGGTGATTCAATAATGTTGAATACTGAAAGCTTAAAGACTTTTTAAGCAGTTGAATTACACGAGACTTCCTAACAAATTAAGTGTTGTGTTAGGAACACTTATTTTTTTCTGGGGTTTGAAACTATTCAGGAAAATTTCAGAGTCTGCTGAGATGGCTAGTTGCCATGATGCATTTTCAATCTTCAGTTTCACAATATTTCACTCTTTCACGGGAAAAGCGGAATATTTCCAATGTATTTTCTTACAGAGCCTTAAGACTTTCATAAGGTTTGGAATTAAAGCTTTTCTACATGCCGAAGTCTATGCAAGGAAAATTACCAATTGCTGACAGGGGGTGTCAGCAGTGGCTCAGCTGAACAGGTGCTATACATAGTCTAATTGCAACTGTCAAAAAGAAAAGTCATGTGCTGCACGGTTTCAGAAACCGTGATTAAAACAGGCTTTAAAATGAGTGGATTTAAATATTCTTACAGGTTCATTTGCATTGGATAATGTGTGTGAACATGTATGGTTATACACATGGAGACATTGTAGCAATGCCATAATTCAGGTTGAGTTAAACTTTGTATGTAAAGCAGGACTAAAATATTTCCTTTTTCTTTAAAGATTGACGTTAACTTCGAAATATGGCACAATAACCCTTTTATAGAACTGTTTCTATCACATAATTAAGGGGAAGTATTTTGCAAAGGAAACACATAAAAGTCTTTTGTCCTGACATTATTGTATATCGGGTGTGGAGGTTGGGGTCCCACTCTAATCAGTGTTCTCAACTCTCAACTTTGCACTTATACTTGCTGATGGTGTCTCCAGTTTAGGCCACTCTTGATAGTTTGCAAATTAAGCCTACACAGAATTAATTGGAGTCCCATGCCAGGGTTTAGATGCTAGAAATGGCTGATAAGTTTCATTTTCCAGATGGCCAATAGGGCTGGGCAAAACAGCACCGTTCCATTTCAACTTGCGTTTCGATGGAACAGCATTTCATTTTGATTCAAAACTGCTGTTCCATTTTGTTTTGTCAAAACAGTTTGGCTGCTTTGATGCTCTTTCGATGTTTTGCCTATAGGCTATAATGGGGAAGCTTGAAACAGCCTATAACTTTGTAATTTCTGGCCAGATTTGAAGGAAACTTGCAGGAATGGTATATGAAGCCTGCCAAGTTTCAAGGAGATAGGTGCAGGGGTTTCAGGGAAACTCCAACTCAAACTCTTGAAAGCAAAAAACTCATGTCACGTGTATGTGGTAAGCCACAGCAGGATCAAAACTTCAGGGATGGTAGCCCCTGCTGAGGAAACAAAGCCTG